CAATAAACGTTATAATAAAAATACAAGAAATCAAAACCGCTGCACCTATCGCTGTCCCAAGTCCAATCGTCAAAGATTTGATGACTTTTCTGCAGGTAGAGAAGTTTCAGTAGGGTTAATATTTGGACTAGTAGTTGGTGGGTTAAAAGTTGTAACCCACTTATTATTTTTTATATTATAAAGGTACACTTCAGCAGAAGAAGAATACAATTGAGTATCCAAGTTAAATCCTAAAAAAATATGAAACGTCATTAATATAATTGAAAAATGTTATTAAAAAATTAAAATCTACTTACCAAATGTAATTATCATAAAGTCGTTATATAAATTTGCAACATGTCCATAGATGGATGGTGGAGAATTTTCTTCAGATCCAGATGGAATGGTCCATTCGAATGGATCTTTATTCGTGTCTAACAAAGCAAGCTTAGGACTAACACCAGCAAGATCAGCATTTTTGAGGGCATATGTGGAACCCCCAAATATGATAATATATCCATCTGGTGCTATTGAAAAAATTTATTTTATATAAATTTCTTATGTTTTTGGATACTTACTTAACACAGTGTTTTAGAAATAGCAAATAATTTGGATACTTACTTAACACAGAAGAAAAATATATTCTTGATTCAATTACATCACCGGTGGCATCCTTAGAATTAAATGCGACAATAGGTTATTGCATATTACATTTATCCCGTAAATTAACATCAAAAATATATACCATCTGTGACCATTCATTTGCATTTGTATCAAAAAGTCTAATCTATTCGAAAATGATAAAGGATTATATAGTATATATTAATATTATAATATTTATGAAAATAATTTAAAAATAATTTATTAATTAATATTCGAATTTCTTACTTGGTTTATATTTACAAGAGAAAAACCAGCCTCTGAATTACTAACTTTTTCTACTCCGCCAATATAAACAATAATTCCATTTGGCAAAATATTAGCAGTATAATCGCTAGCTTCATTAGGAAGAATTCCAGATATGCTTAAAGTTGTCCAAGTATTTGAAACTGTATTAAATACAGTCATATCATTGAAAAGATATCCTGTATTTGATGTTAAATTAGTGGCATTATATCCGCCAAATATATTAATTTTTCCCGTTTTATCATTT